GCTCCACCTACAAAAAATTATGCAGGACTTTTTCCAATGACAGTTTGAGAAAAAAAAACATTCAAACTCCGGATATTTGGATAATAACATCCCAATACAATTAAATTGTTTTTTTTTTCTGAATTTTACTGTCTATGTTGTTTTATTTAAAATAGTAATGGAAATCAGGAAGAAAACTAGTAGAGCGTTTTTTCATAAATTCATTTTAATTTTGTAGTATTATTATAAAGTTAAAGGAACCGCGATCTACAACCAATGACGGATTTTTACAAATGACGTTATTTCTTGATCATTCCGTAGCATTTTTATTGTTATGGTTTATGTTTATTTCTTAAAAAAATCCTATATATGCTCTCAGCCTCTTGTGAAAGGCTCCATTTACTACGTTTTCTACATTTTCTCTAATTTGTGCTGCCTAATAAAAAGGTCCGAGGGACCGGCGACGGAATAAAGAAGTCCATGGGGAAAAGAAAAAAGAAATATAAAACGTAGAACTGCTCAATAATATAAAGGGTTTACTTGGAGAAAATTCGCGAGTTGGAAATTGCAATATTTTCCACCACTTGTTGCGGCGACCCAGGCTCTTATTTTTCAACCCTTGAATCTTTACGTTTAAAAGCGTTTGTTGTATAATATTCCAAAAATATCGAGAGAATAATGCCGAGGTGGAAAGTAGATAATTAATAAAAAGTATTTTTTAATGTATATAAAAAGATGTTATAAAAAGACAGAGGTCTTTTTAAAATAAATCTATCGAATGGTTTACAAAACTGAACATTTGTAATAGCGCAAAGAAAATTAAAATGTAAAGATTTTTATTTAAATAATATATTCCATACATTCATTTACGTAGAAAATGACTGGTTTCTTGAAAAAAAAAAAAAAAAAAAACTGGTCTGAATTCTTATGGTGCAACTGAATTTCCCCACAATCGACTTTTGCATTCATTTGGCATTTTCGAAGCTTATAAGCATTTTTAATTAACTATAAAAACTTAATCAGTTAGCAGCATGACAAATTTATTCCTGAGGTACCGAACAGCAAAATACAAAAAAAAAGTTCACTGGATTATATATAGTTTAATCTATGACTTAGTAGGCTACTGGGTATATCATAAAAATAAATGCCCTGATAAAACGATATAACTGACCGTCATTAATTTTTTTTAAATAATCGTGCTGAAGATTGTCTGTATGTATTATGAAATTTTAAAAAAACCTATCAGAGCCTTTGATTTTTACCTTTGCTGAGGGTAGCTCGGTTTAAGTTCGGTTTAAGGTTCACGGAGATTTCTTTTTTTCATTGATGGATTTTTTTACATTTTATTTAAAGAAGTACATCCACCGATGGTCGCTAACAAGCCTAGATGATGATTTGCCATATTTCCGAGAATCTATATCAGCTAATTCAAATATATTTTATTTTTTTAATGTGTGGTGTTTAGTGCACTCTCAACACGACAGACAAGAATTACACATCTACACGGAAAACAAACACTTTGAGCCCTGAAGATGATCTCAATAAAGCTCGAAACGTGGCACGATAAAGAAAATGTTTTTCTAAAACCACCAGACCGCATCTCACCATCTTTCTGTCTTTGTTGTTTCAATTCATTACTGATGAATCAGTCGAATTGTTTGTTACTTACGATAAGAAAATAATAAGCAGGATGCTATTGAATGAGATTAGGCTAAAAAGTTGTAAAAACCAAAATACGCTTCCAATAAAGAAAGTCAAAAAATGTGTTTTTTGAACAAATTCGTTCGGATTCGTTTTAAGACCTTTTAAAACCCTTAAACACTAAGTTTTACAGCAAACGAAAAAAATAGACATTTTTCGCTGGATTCGCCACGGTTATACGATTATTTTTTATGCTGATCTCCGGTGTTCCACTTAAAAATTCATTACTCCGCCGAATTTTATCCAAATTGAACGTTTATGGAAACGTTGAAATGCATAATAAATCTTTTCAGGCTATGTTATTAACGTTTAGATCTTATGCTATTATAATAGAAAGACAGTATAAAATGAAAAACAAAACCTTCTCAAACGTTTTAGTTTATTTACGGAGGGCGTATTTGTGGCATTGCGTGTACTTTATAGTGTTCTACACCGCTGTAAAGTTTCCCGTAGATCAGTGAAGTTTTTTAAAAGTTATCACCTTTTGAACCAAAAAAACGCAGCCGATTTTGAAGTAGAAAATTCAGAGGGATAAAATTTCTAGATTGTCCCGAAAATTTGTATACAAGGTTTTTTTGGGCGAAATAAAACTAAAATCAACTTACCGATAACCATGCTAGTTGTTAAACTCTATTTTGACATACTGACAGAGCGATTAAGTCGGTTAAAATATTTTTTTAGCCAGAAAGAAAGTTGGTTTTTTTTCCAACACGAAAAACCCCGAATAAATTTTTTTTAGGAAAATCTAAAAAAAAATTTGCGTTATAAACTACCGATCTCGCGGAAACTTTACAGGGGTGTAAAACATTATAAAATAAATTCAATGTCACAAATTCGGTCTCCGTAAATAAATTAAAACCGGAGGAAGAAAATAAATCGCCTGAGCAGTTTTTGTTCATTTCATCCTTTTTCTCAATTATAATACTCTAAGATCTAAACGTCGATATTGTACCCTGAAAGAATTATTATGTTTTAATACGGTTGCATAAACGTTCAATTTGAATACGCTTCAGCGTTTAATGAATTTTTAAGTGGAACACCGGACATCAGCATAAAAAATAATCGTATAACTCTGGCGAATCCAGTGAATAACGTTTATTTTTTTATATTTTTTGCTATAAAACTTGGTGTTTAAGGACTTTAAAAGGTGTTTAAAACGAATCCGAATAAGTTTGTTCACAATAATGATTTTTTTGGCATATTTTATTCAAAGGGTATTTCCGGTTTTTTGTAACATTTATATGGCTATTTGTTATTAATACGATCCTGCTTATTATATTTATTATCCTAAGTAACCGAACAAATAGACTGATATACATAACGTGAAATACATGCACAACAAAGTCAGAAAATAACATTTAAAAAAATAATAATTAATACAAATTTAACTAAAAAATTTCATTTTAGGCTCCTTGGTAAGAACGATCGGGCAATATGTGTATTACGCAAAAATAAAAATTAAAGATTTATTCTGCATATAATTTGTATATGCGAGATATATAAAAAAACAAAAACGAATCGAATGAAAGGTAACAACATTAAAATCTGTAAGGAACAAAGTGAAAAAATGTTTTAAAAATTATGTTCTTTTTAACATTCGACTCCTACGTCTAAGGAAATTTCGCTCTGACAAATCTATTTTTTTAATTTTTTGTTAGTTACAGATTTATTGTGCACATTATTTTTATATGCTAGATATATAAAAAACGAATCGAATGAAAGGTACCAACATTAAAATCTGTAAGGAACAAAGTCAAAAATGTTTNACAAAGGAAAAAAATGTTTTAAAAATTATGTTCTTTTTAACTTTCGACTCCTAGCGTCTAAGGCAATTTCGCTCTGACAAATATAATTTTTTATGTTTTTGTTAGAGATCTATTTTATAAAATTTGATTAATATTTTTATTTTATTCTTTTATTATACGTGAAATGTAGTTGAAATATAAGTAAAATACACCTGGTGGATTTTATTTTACCTTTTCATTCCAAACGGTAGTTCTACGGTGATACAAATAGTTTTTTCGCATAGAATCTTGTATCTAATTTTTTAATTTTTTTTATTATAGTGTTATGCTTTTACATTTTACATACAAGGTTAGATAATATATGTATTAATCAAATATATCGAGTAAATTATTTTTTAATGTTATTTTAAATGGGTCTTAGCGGCCTAGTTTTCCTCGATGTTTTTTTCATTAGGTAATTCCCGATAGATTTATATAAACGTGTGCAGATTAATAAACTCATAAACATAAAATAGCTTTAGATGAATTGTTTTGTAAATTTGATTTAAATTTGATTAAATCTTGACTTATTATTTTACGTTGTGATCTATGAAATAATTAAAGATTATTTAGACATCTTGAGATTTTGTAGGTTTAGAAGAACATTTTCTTTATTGTGCCAAAATTTAGATCTTTATTGAGATCATCTCCAGGACCTGGGATTTATAAACATTGTTCAAATTATACATATAGATGTAAGATGTGAAAAAATGAATTTATACAATGATAGAAATTTTAGGCTCAATCAATGTATTTTTACTCACTCAAAGTGTTTGTTTTCTGTGCAGATGTGTCAGTTTTGTGTGTCGTAAATAATCATTAATTAAAGGTAACTAAATACCACAAATTTCTACACAAGATGAAATAATTAAATATTTATTTAAAAAATTACATAAAATATCAATGGTGTATGTATACTGATATCACTAATTTGTATAAATCTGTATTTTCCTTTATTATTATAATGTATAAAACTATTTATGAGCTCACCTCCTGTCAAGCACAAATTAATTTTACTGAGAGCAGGCTGTTCATTTTATATTATTTTGTACTACATTATTTTGTACTACACTATTTTTGTTTTACATTTTTTTTCAGACTAATGTATTCTATGATAGAAAATAAATTCATTTTTTTTATATCTTAGGTTTGCAGGGGGGAAACTGAAACTATGGGGTGCATAGTTTTATTGCATTGTATCTTGGATCTTTGAAATATTTAATATTTTTATTATAGCGTTGTGTTTTAAATTCCGTATTTTTTTATGTCGAAAAGGGGTTGTTGTTAGAATGCTTGGCGCATTGACCGAGTGAATTATAAGGGCCACAAGGCGCCATATTGACTGTTTTGACGTATTTTTTATTCAGCAATGCTGGAAAATTTAATACCGTTCGATAAATGGGGTGGAATTAATTTTTCAGCTCATGAACCAAATTGGTTCATCCATAATCGATATATGAGGAAGAATGTAGAAATTCTATGGATTAAATTAGTTCATAATGTGCTTGAATAGTTGAATTTTTTTTTTTAACTTACCATGATAAATGCAAGACTAATAGGAATAATCCAGGTACGACAAGATCGTCACTTCCGACGTTCCAGCGCCTCCTGAAAGCGACGAGGCCTGGCATGGACGAAGACGAAGGTGACGAAGTCTTCCGCCGAGTCTTGTCCTAAGGGGAACACGGCGGGGAAAGCATTGAGGTCCACGTGCTGCGGACAGTTGATGATCTTCTGGAGGACGCACGCGCCGATCCGCGGCTGGCGTCAGGACGGTCTCGCAACGGATTGCTTACTGCTGGAATTGCTGTCTCCCTCCGATTGCCGGACGGCTCCCCTCCCGGCGCCACAGGGCGCTTGCGGAAAAAACCTGGCCCCCAGCACCATCTATCTGCTGGGCGGGATGATCCGGACACCCCTGTGCCACAGGCTTGGTGATCTACAAGCCTTAACCCAAGTTTAGTCGACCAAAACAAAATAAAACTACAAAATATTATTATTTTTATTTACGACCACATATTTTTATTAACATGCTTTGGCCTTTACATAAATTACATGTTTTTGTTATAGTAATGTATTGTGGTGATAGTGTAATACATTGATAGCATTGAGTAAACAACAATGAACTGATGATCAAATTCACTACTCCAAACAAATCAATAAATTATTTTAAAACAAAAATAAATTAAAAATCATTTCAACAACTATGTATTGTACATACTACATGTTTGTAATAAAACACATCTGGGGCTACTTTTTAACAGTACAGATTGGTCCACTATTTTATATATTAAATTAACCACATCGGTGAAAAATAATTTACGAATTATTAAAATTAACTAATTTTCGTGGTCCGCTTGACCAATCTTTCAATTAATTAAGGTTTTAGTTGAGATTAAACAGTCAGTGTCACGAGCGGGATGAAAAATGGCAAAAAGGAGGGAAAATTCAAAAGGTGGGGTTGAGATGGGAAGTTAGTGTCCGAGTGGATCGAGGTCACGATAGGTCAAGTGGTAGAGCAGCGGCGTATCTAGCCGAAGATCGTGGATTCGAATCTCGCTCGTGACGCTGATTTTTTTATCTCAACTAAAAACCTTAATTAATCGAAAGATATTAATTGGTCAAGCGGACAACGAAAACAAGTGAAATTAATAAGTTAAAATAAAGTATACCTTCACTAAAGCTCTCCGTGGCCAGTTCATTTGTCGCAGAGAATCAAATAGATTACACGACATTTGAAAAATGGCAAAAAGGAGAGAAAATTCAAAAGGTGGGGTTGAGATGGGAAGTTAGTGTCCGAGTGGATCGAGGTCACGATAGGTCAAGTGGTAGAGCAGCGGCGTATCTAGCCGAAGATCGTGGGTTCGAATCTCGCTCGTGACGCTGATTTTTTTATCTCAACTAAAAACTTTAATTAATTGTGTATTATTGCTTTTAGTACAATAATTTTGATATTTAATTGTTGGTTTTAGATGTTATTTATTTATTACCAATTCATTTATAAACGTCTACATACGTACCTGTTAAAGAAATTGTAAACTAACTTAGCCCTGAAGATGTTTAGAAATTGAACGAAAGCTTGGCATGAAGTTTTTCTGACTTAATACCTGATTATCACACATACAAATGAACACAAGATCATTTCATCTCTTAACTATATTTTTTAGAGTAATAATAAAATGGGAAGTTTATGGGCCGACAAACAGATGAGGTCATCGCCGGCCTTCTGCGTGTTTCCTTCTTTTTCTCTTCTTTCGCGCATGTTTTGTCTTAAACTGCAGCCATTTGAGCGTCTCGATCTGGTTACTGACTCTGATTTCAAATATATATACTACGTTGATATCCTTTACAAGCAACCCCTTCCTTTCACGCTCATAAATTACATTTTCTCTCCAGACGTCATTCACTCACCCCAGAGTACTCGATTTTCCTCAGGGCGGGGTTACATCACCCCTTCCTTTCACGCTAATAAATTACTTTTACTCTCCAGACGTCATTCACTCACCCCAGAGTACTCGATTTTCCTCAGGGCGGGGTTACATCACCCCTTCCTTTCATGCTAATAAATTACATTCATTCCAATAAATTAACAGAAAGTCAAACATAGGCACACACAAACCCACATAACAAAACTATATACATTTAAAAATCCCTATAGCCCTGAGGTACCGGAACAGCGGTCCGTGCCCGTTGCCGTGCCCCAAGACTACGCACAGGTCAGATGATATGCCAAAATATTGTCTATGTACATCAAGCCTTCTACAGTGCTCGACCGTTATTCTATCCTTACATAACGTGCACCTACGCGATTGCTTTCCGATCTGGAGGTCCCCGTGCGTTATTCTTGTATGACCTATTCGTAGTCTTGTCAGTATGGCCTTTTCCTTTTCAAACCGGTCTCCGTGGACCAGGGGCCGACTTCTTTCTTAACCTGTCACAGTTTGGCAGGGTTATTTCTATTTCTTCGAGCTCAGCGGTTTCCCCATTCTCTTTTTACAAAGTTTGAAATTAATAGTTTTAGGTCCGCTGGCGTATAGGTTAGCAAGCGTCGTGGGGCCTTCCAACGACTTTGGCCGCCCTGTCTGCTTCTTTGTTCCCGGCTATCCCTATGATTTTTTTACAGTAATAAGTAATATTTATACAGGTGAGAGTTATTTACAAAAAGAAATAATACAGTGTTTATTTTTAAAGCAGAACAACATACGCTTAAGGTTGGACACTTAGTCCATCAGCTGAGAGGCCATTAAAATATAAAGTTCCCTTCATTGTTCAAAAATTAAGTAATAAATATAAAAGCTAGACACACTGCCCTTTGTGCAGAGAAAGATTGCTCGATGTGTCCTACGTGATAGAGACGTGTCATGCCTTGGCTCCATAAAGAGAGCGTGTAGGCATGCCGCCGGATTTAAGAATGGTTTGAAGTCACGGTAGAGACTTTCATGGTCCCCTGTTCCGCTTTTTAGGGTACTTGGGAATTTTTTATGGTATATGACCGTCAAAATTTGTGCTTTGTGTTTCTGTATGAGGATGAAGGATCTACAACACGAACAACTTGCTGGTTTGTGGAGTGCTGAGAGCGAAAGCCAAATTGGTGGTCTGGAAGAAGTATAAGATCATTCTTTTTAGGCGGATTTTAGGGAATATCTTTGAGACCAGAGAGAACAGGCTAATTGGAACATAGGAAGATTATGGGCGGGTTTGCCAGGTTTATAAAAAGGATAGTTCAATTTTATCTTTTATTTTTATATTTTATCTCAACTAAAAACCTTAATTAATTGTAAAAAGGATAACGTTCGAGAATTTGCAACGCCGAAATTTTGGGAGACGGTGTTATCAAATTATACCCAATTAGCACGAATTCTATGTTTTCACGGATAATTTCATCATAAAAATTTGGAATGGTACAGAAATGAGAGTTCAAGAAAATTTGACGATTTAAAGCTGGTATCTTTTGTATTTGATTCATAATATTTTTCGTTAGATTTGGACTTAAGTCAGATTTAAATTAAATATTGCAATGCAAAGGGAAGAATCATGATAAAAGAGGGTAAATTAATTACAAATGAAGATGGAAATGTAGAATATTAAGAAAACAAATAATGCATGTTGCTTGCAATGCATATAACCAAGGCAAATAATGCAACTATTATCTGGTTGCTATCGCCCGGCAGATCCTATCAATTTTTCCTTTCTTTTCCTTATTTCAATTATTTTAATAAGAAATTGAGTCAAGGAGAGTATTGGCGATAGGTGGAAGTAGTACTATTTATCTAGGAAGCTATGCGTATCTCCTATATTTCAGAATTATAAAACTGATTTACTATTGAAACATGAAAGTTTTAACAGTAAAATTAATTTCATTAGTGTTCGTGGTCCGCTTGACCAATTAATTAAGGTTTTTAGTTGAGATAAAAAAGTCAGTGTCACGAGCGGGATTCGAACCCACGATCTTCGGTAGATATTCGCTGCTCTACCACTTGACCTATCATGACTTCGATCCACTCGGACACTAACTTCCCATCTCAAGGAAAATTCAAAAGGTGGGGTTGAGATGGAAAGTAAGTGTCCGAGTGAATCGAAGTCACTATAGCTCAAGTGGTAGAGTAGCGGCGTATCTAGCCGAAGGTCGTGGGTTCGAATCCCGCTCGTGACACTGACTTTTTTATCTCAACTAAAAACCTTCATTAATTGAAAGTAAAATTAATGATAGGAATATGCTTGGATGGAAAACGTGGCACCCAGAACGATTGAGTATAATTCTAGGCAGGTTAGGCAATGAATAATCAAAGCACGGTTGTTTCCTTTTGGAAAAAAATTATGTCCAGCGATATGAATAGAGGAGGAAAACAACTTAAAAATAAAGGGTACAAAGGATGCCGAGAGGTTGTATTGTTCTGAATCACGAAGGGGTTGGTTGCTTGTATTGCAGGTTGCCGGAAATTGCATAAGGGTTCTGATTGGAGACTCGAATGTCGACAAATTGGCGTAGGTATTTTATCGAGAGAAAACCCGATTGTTTTCCATGGTTTGAACCATGCTGTCCAAGATTTAGCCATTTTTTCACAATAGAAAACGCTGACCGTTAGTCAATAATTATTATTTTGTGACTGAACAGTCCTTAAAATTGAAATGGCCTGTAAAAAACATAAATATGTCAATCTGTAGACCTTTTTAAGATTGTTTTGCCCTGATGATGACCTTAAATAGGTCGAAAGCTTGGTAGAAAAACTGAATTTACTTTATTCTTCAAGACCATACCTTGTTCCTTAAGTTTCTGCAGGGTAGGCAAGGTGTTAACCTGAAAAAGAATCGGCGCCTTACTGTTTACCAATGCTAGACAAAGACGTTGTAGTTTCCTTCGTATTCTGTCAATGTTTTGTGAATTCAGGAAATTGTAGTTAATAACCTCAGCAGTACACGACCAAACAGTCACCACAACCTTTTTTGGGTGCAGATTTGGTTTCGGGGAGTGTTTTGGCTCTTCATCTTTGTCCAACCACTGACCTGTAGGCCTCCTGTTACCGTACAGAATCCATTTCTCATCGCACGTGATGATTTGGTGGCGCAACAGAAGAGAAGACGTGCACATTTCAAAGGTCGATTTTTCGGGCTTCGGCTAGTTCTTGTGATACCAACTTGTCGAACTTTTTTATCCGATTTTAGGTTATCAAACTCCGGATGGTGAAAAACGGCAATGAAGTGGTCAACATCGAGCTATTCTGATATTTCTCGTGCTGTCTTACGTAAATTTTCTTATCGACGTTTTGAGCAGGTCGTCGTCCACAAAGGAAGGCCTACCTCAACATTCCTTTTCTTCGAGATCGAAATCTCCAAGACGAAATCCCTGAAACCATTGCACCGTGCATTCGCTAATGCTTCACTCCCCACAAACTTAGCACTTCGCCCACGTTTTAAATTCGTACAAATAAATTTGACGAAAACCTATTTTGGACATTTTTAAATTCGCAGGTCCTCACTATTATAAAATTCAATATGAACTAAAATGTTTTGTATACAAGACAACAGTTAAAAATATTTATTATATTCCATAAATTAGATTTAGCTTTGTTTTCATAACAAGCGTGTGCGAAAATAAAATAAATTTTCAAAACCTGGATTAATTGTGCACCAACCAATATGTAAAACACGAAAGAAATAATGTTAGGTTACTTAACAATTTTAGTTTGAAATTTGGGGCAAGGTCTGGAAAATGTCTCACAAATTAATTATAATTAATTATAAAACAAAAATTCTATTATTCAGAAACAGTTAAGATCCCCGTTAATTGCTAAAAAAATTGTTGACAAATCATATAAATAATTGATTATTATTCGGTTCTAAAGCAGATTTCCCATATCTCGGTCGTTTCAGCCAATTTGACAGTTTTCTATGATCGCTCGGGCTGTTTTGCCTCAAAATTAAGCATAAATGAACCCTTCGCTCACCGTATATGTTTAGGGATCGATGTTTTGCCCCAAGGAATATTAACTACCCATCAGACGAGGGAAGAGATCTGGTAGCGATGACGTTAACTTTACACTGACATAGCATACTTTCTGTTTACGTTTTAAAATCAATATTTATTAAATGACAGAGTGAAAGAAGAAAGTATCTTTTAACAAATAAATTTACAAGGAAGAGCAACTAAAATACTAATTAATTTGTGAGTTGCAAGATGAACCAAATATTTTGACAAAAAGCCCATTTGTATATATGTCCGGCTTGTCCAATCCCTGGACCTTTACCTTACACTGATGAGCGCCGTGTCAACGCCAACCTTGCCCCCCCCCCAATTTTTACTCTTTAGTATTTTACCAATCTAAATTGTCAAATGTTCATGTTAAATAATAATTAAGAACCACAAGAACAAAAAAGCGTCAGACTTTATCATTGCTGAGAAAACTGGGTGAACAGACAAACTAAGAAACGGCCCGTCGAGAAAATGAAAAAGAAAGACAGAACGATCTCAACAAGACTGAGGATAGGCCACACGCGTCTCACCCATGGCTATCTAATGGAGGGCGGTGGATTGAGGCGATGCCTACAGTATGGTGAGCCAGTGACAGCATGTCATATACTGGTGAAATGTGAGAGATTAAAACATTACATATTAAGGTGTGGCCTACGGCCAGACAAAAATTAAATCTTGGTGCCTAACAGTGACCACCAGCTAAATTTATTGGAATATTTACGAGTAGTGAAAGTATATGACTTACCATAATCTACGCCTTTGCATACGTGCAATATGAATGTATTTATTAGCGAGAATGCTGGATAAATGAGAATAGGTCGTTCGTCAGTATATCCAAATACTTTGATTGTTATCTAGGTTTAGTTGTTTTTGGTTTGACTGAGAGGAGCGGTCATCGGCAGAATATTAAATACGCTAGTGGCCCCCTATTTTCATTTTATTTGTACATAGTATAGCAGTGTACACACGAATGAGTGTATTTATTAGCGTAATTGATGATGGATGCAAGAGTACTTTAAATAGGTATGGAATTGATGTAAATGAGAGCAGGCTATTCGTTGGAATATTTCAGTACCTCGATGACCTGTTTCTAGGCTTAGTCTTAAGGTATGAATGAAAGGAGTGGTCATCAGCAGAATATTAAATACCCTAGTGGCCCCCTATTTTCATTTTATTTGTACGTAGTATAACAGTGCACAGACGAATGAGTATATTTACTAGCGTGATTGATGATGGATGCAGGAGTACTTTAAATAAGTACAGGAATTGATGTGAATGAGAGCAGGCTATTCGTTGGAATATTTCAGTACCTCGATGGCCTGTTTCTAGGCTTAGACTTAAGGTATGAATGAAAGGAGTGGTCATAGGCAGAATATCAAGTACCCCGGTGGCCCTCGATTTATTCTTAATTGTATATATGACATGTGAGTAGACGAATGAATGTATTTATTAGCGTGTTGTAAGTAGTTATTGGCGAGTGAATGAATACTGATTGTTGGTATGTGCTGGTACGTGAAGGGTGCAGATGTGTCCAGGTCATTCAACCATAAGAGGAAAATGCTGAAATAAACTCCCCGTCGAGAGTATTGCAACACCCATAATTTTTGAGATTTTCTTGGTTTTGACCTTAATCTATACTTTGTTTATATTTATAGTAATATTATTTATTAAATGAGAGACATTAGGGATTAGACACATCGATCCACTCGGATACTAACTTCCCATTTCAACCCCACCCCATTGAAAAATGGCAAAAAGGAGGGAAAATTCAAAAGGTGGGGTTGAGATGGAAGTTAGTGTCCTAGTGGATCGAGGTCACGTTAGCTCAAGTGGTAGAGCAACGGCGTATCTAGCCGATGATCGTGAATTCGAATCCTGCTCGTGACACTGACTTTTTTATCTCAACTAAAAACCTTAATTAATTGAAATTAATTATTAACGTTTGCCAGTAAAAGAAAGAAAAAACTGAGAAATATATATTTTAATCAAGGTAATGCTGAAATCATGTGATGGCAAATATTATGAGGCAAAGGAGAAAGGAAAAGGCACATATTAAATAGTAATAATTTTATTGTTATAAAATTGAACAAAACATAAAATAACTAAGGGAATGTTTAGTGCATTGATTTTTACAAATATTATACATTTCTTATAATAACAAATATTATAAACATCTTAAATAATGTATTAATAAGAAAAAAATTAAGTGCTTACATAGTTACAAAATAATCATTTACATATACAAACACTTATTATTATTAAGAAATTATCTATGATAAATACTTTGTAAAAATAAAAATGCCAAAAAATACTTTTCCCTGATAAAGATGTTCTATCTCTTCTAATTTTAATAAACAAAAAAATTACATAAGACTAAAATTGCACAAAATATTATTTTATTAAATTGTCAATTCAAAAGATATTATAAATTGATTGGCACAATGTTCAAATCAAACAAATTGAAAATAAAATTTTAAATTTTTGCCTAGAAATTACAATTTTGACATTATACATTATAGTTAATTATCATTTATAAATATATGAAATTTTTTTTATGATATGTTGTGTTCCATAATAAGCTGCACTTGGTATATATCATATTAAAAGAAAATGTTCAATCTAGTGAATTTAGGGGTGCAATGGTAAATTGAAAAATTGCATTGTCTAAAGTTTTTATACTTCTACCAAATGGTAACATTTAAAAAGAGAAGAAAAAATGTTTAGAAAAAATTAAATTTAAATTATAAATCTATCAAGTCTTTTCTTTTGATAAATTAAAACAACTTCCTTGCAAGTTTATAGGTAATTATAAAGAAAAAATATAAATTGAAATACACAGTGGTATAAAACAACAACTGCATGTAAATAAAAATAAAAAAGTAAAGTTATTTCATTTATAACTTTTTCTCAGTGACTGAATCGCTAAGAGATTCACGAGCTATTTGCCCTCCTAGTCTAGAATTGTATCAGTCGTAATTTCAATCTACACTTTGTTCTCTTTAGTGTGAATGATCTCTGCATATTCGGTTTTCTCGTCTTCCGGTCGGACAAGGAGTGCCCTTCCCTGAGCATTCTGTTGGAGGTCGAGTTCGGCGTAGACTACACCTTCGTCACTAGGGATATTCCTGATTTCTGGGTTCAATCTGCCTTGCTCTTCCTGGCCATTTTTCTGCTACATAAGGTAATTTTGGAGTAATGATAACTGCATTGTTATAGGATAATTTTTTACATACTTCACCCTTGACTGTTACATCTTTGCTATCAGGGTCTGGCTCAGAAGCAACTTTGTCATTTTTCTTCTTGAAAACTGCCGTGAATGTCATTTTAGGCTTCTTGTGTGCATGGTGTTCAGCTGATTCTGTATCACTGCTGTAAACAATTAATCGATTCTTTTAAAAATATTTCACAAATACTTTTCAGATGAGTTTGAGAACAATATTGAAAGATCAAAATTTCCTTATTCAAGAAGATTCGCAAGGTAAATTATGAAAACAGGTTTTTCCTGGGTCACAGGAGCGCCTGTGTACACATACTTTGAATGTGTCAGGTGCCCAACTTTCAAGGAATTACAAACTAACATGAAATGGGAAGCAGATGTATGAGGAACATGTCTCGGTGACCTGGAAATACTACGTCTAATTCTACATAGGTATCTGGCTAGCGCAGAATCAAAATTGAAGTGCACAAAAAGTTGTTATGAAATATCCTGTATATGTCTCACAGATGTACCTCTGGAGGGATATCATGGAAACGGATATTGTTAGGTTAAGTAAGGTTAAGTAGGTTAAGTAAAGAAAAGAAACATCTAATGATATCAATCTGGTTCGAGTACGCAATTGGCGCCATCCTTGTCTTACTAAATGTGATCTATAGCTTGATTCCGTTCATACAAAGTAGGATTTTTAACGCACAGATTGAGTTTGTTCCAAGTTAAAATGTATAATGAAACAAAAATATTGTAGTAATTAAATATTTAAATAATTAAGTGGTGGTATTTCTATATATTTTCTCTCTTCTTAATATATATATATTTTTTTTTAATTTCGCAACATTATAGCAAAAGGAGTGGTTCTTACAACAAACTCAAATTCAAAATGGCTACATGCTATCTAGGAGGAAAGAAAGGTATCATATTCTGTGACAGCTACACAGCCAGTAGGATTGCTTCCCATCATGACTTATCCTTTCCGGTCAGGCCTTTAGGGTTAAGGTTAGGTAAAGTTAGGGTTAGCTTAGTTTTACATTCACTGCCAATGACACCAAGCTGGTGTTATGAGTCAGTTGTTTCACCAGGCCCTCAGCTGTTTCAATTGTCTTAGAAAATATTCGCCAGGTAAACAAGTCAAACTAAATAGATTTTGTACTGAAGGTGGTAAGTAGGGTTTGGGATGAGTTAGGTATTTTTAGGTAGTGTTAGTGTGTGGAATAGGTTAGGAAAGTTAGGTAAGTTTAGGTAGTATTCATGTCAGGAATAGGTTAGGAAGGTTGGGAATGGGTTAGGTAAGTTTAGGTAGTGTTAGGTAGTGTCAGGGTAAGGTTAAATTTCTCAGACAAAAAACTATGTTCTGCAGTGAATTTATTACATAAGGTTATGAGAGGAGGAGTTAGGTAAGTTTTGGTTGTTTTATGGCTGGGTTGGGTTAGGTTAGGTTAGGATAGGCTTAGAGTAACGTTAAGTGAGGTTAAGGTTTTTCATGATTAGGGCTGGGATAGGCTAGGTGGAAATGTTTTATACTTAGAATTGCTAAAGAGTTGTGGTACCAATAGTTTTATTTATCAATGTGTAAGTAATTTAATAAAAGAGTAAAATATTCAAAATATTGAAGTAAAACTTACGATTCTCCCGCTAAATGTGGTCCGCTTCTTTCTAGAAGGAAAATAAAAAACAAAAAAGTCAGAAAAAAGGTATTCTTTAATAACTTATGCATTTAAAATCAGCAATAATTTATTTAGTTACTTTAATCCGTACATTTCATTTCTTTGCTTTTTTTTACTTTTACTATATAAACAATTGTCCAAATTAAAGCTTACAACAACTTGGTATACACCAGCACTTAACTTTTTAATTAGATTATTTTGGTATCGCTACCATAAAATTGAAGCGTGAGTATACAAAGAATGCTTTAAAATTCAAAGGAAATTCAACACAAATTGCTGATGAAGGTCAAGACAATGGTTTATGATTTGTAAAAAATCTCGATTCTTTTGGAATGTCTTTTAAAAAAAGATAGGTACACCAAAGTTTTTTTTTATCACAACATTGTCTTTTTTTATTTATATAGTGTATTATATATTATAAAAATCAATATATTGTCTAATTTCTTTTTACAGTTATATACGTATAGTTTACACGGTTCTTGATAACTTCTTAATCCCTTAAAAGTGATGTTATACGACTCTTCATTTTTAAATATTTCCTATTAGAATTTCCAAAACACAACTCAATATATACATCTATTATACTTTATTCAATATACTTTACTTTGTTAAAGCAATGATATCAAGAACAGTACTTTCACATTTCTTTTCACACTGGAATGCCCAGCAGCAGTAAAAACTTTGACATGACTGCTTCAACCTGTTACACTTATATCTATATTTATGATAAATCAATGAAGCTGAAAGAAAATATAAATAAATGTATATATTTTTATTTATTCAAACTTTTAAGAAGAAACGAAACTTATAAGTAGCTGAGATTGTGCTGTAACTTTTGAAATTAGACAAATCCAAAACTAGTGTCTCAGTCTAATTTATTACAATGAGATTCTCCAGAAAAAAACTAAGAATTAAAATAAATAATCTCAAAAATATTATTTAAAAAAAACTAAGTGATTAATTATTTACACTGTGCAATAGTTATGGACATTTAGAAAAATTACACCCAAAATCAATATTGCATTGTTATGGATTTTTTTTTTTTTTTTTTTTTTTGTAGGGGAAAAGCATTGAATATTATTAAAAAAATAGTAAAAATGTTCATCCATCGTCTAAGTTTATAATTAACTAATTTATTATATTAAAAAATACATAAAATTCAGTTTCTTTTTTAAGTACACATTTAAACTAGCTTATCAAAAGATCGGAAGCGAATGTTAGAAATTTTTAAACAAGTTCGGCAGTGTAAAATTCAGAACGTCTCGAATGAGGAACTAAATGAATGATTTTTTTTTGATCAACAATGAATTTCATTATTATTTGCAATTTTTCCATTTAAACATGTAATTGTAATACTATTAATTTGTTAAGAACTTTATTTTTTTTATTTATACCAATTATATAACAAATCTATGTAAATTTATCACGAGTTTCTCACTCTAGAATCTTTACGAGCATCTTTACATTTAACTTTCACACAGACAAACAGCCAAAAAAGACTTATACACCTTAGATCTAAAATATAGTAAAACATTAAAATTTACAGAAGAAAAAAAATAGCGAAGTACTACAAATCACATTATAATACAAATTATAATTTGGTTCAAAGCCGTATTTAAGGAATGTGAACATGATGGATGTGGTTCAAAATATCGGAATGAATGTAAAGAAACATAACAAAAACTAAAGACTAAAACAAAATGAACATGAAAACATAAATTCTGTAATAATTTAAAACATAAAACTGCATTTCACTACAATTAACTTAAAGAGAAAGAGACAACGTAAAAAAATCAAAATGTCTTCTTTGGGATGTATGATACAACATACAAACATATAAAAAATATGAATTAAAACTCTTCATGTTATTGAAACATTTTTTTTCGAAATTTCCATTGTACACTATTTGAATTTGAAACAATTGACAGTCATTAATGGAATAATAAAATAAAATTGATCCCCTTTTTTTTCTAATTTTACGAAGAGTTTTAATACATAGGTACAAAACAAAAATTCGGAGGTTTCAAGTTTTCATTTTTTTTGTGTCATTTTTTATATTTTGTTTTGGACTAAATTGTTCGACTGCCCCGTGGCTCATACTGGAGTGTCTTCTTTTGGTTTTTTGAGCTCAGGACTGCTGTTGATGAATTCGGAACTGTTGTGTTGGGCAACTGGGTTTACATTTCCTTCGGGTACTTTCTCAGGTTCGTTTGTGTCGACCCCCCTAGTGGCACCTCCTGAAACGACAACCCCAAAACTTCAGCATACTAAATAGAATTAAATCAAATTGAATCAAATAGAATAAAAATACAACAAATATATATAAAACATAACAATGAAAACATTCTATGCTACCTGAATAAACACCTACTTACCCACAAAATAACGACAAAAAGTAAAAATATAAAAAGTAGGCTTATGACGAATGTTGGATGAAACAATTGAAAAATACATAAATAAAAAATAACTAAAGCGTTGAGAACTATTTATTTTAACAAGTAGCATCATAAAGAGGAAAAAGTTTAATTATTTTTTATTATAACACTAATTTACATTTTTTACTGTAGCCAAGAAAATTAGTATGAAAAATACTACAAATACATAAACAATCTACATTCCAGATACAAAATACTGTGCTCACTATAAAAATAATTGAGTGCTTGTATAATTTGTAGTTCACATTCATTTCAAACGGGAAATTTAACGTAAAAATACCCAAACAATGTTGTTAAATAAAATTGATAAACAAATTTGTTTTGCTCAAAACACAACTGATTGGTCAATTTGGTTGAAGCAAAGACAGTTTGAGTAAAGGTTCAAGTGAGGAAAAACCACACTGGCCAAGTCAAACTTTTAATTTCAGTCTGCTCCAGTCACAATCAATCATTGCTCTGTGTTTTTACAAAAAATTTAACAAATTTAAAATGAAAGATTAGAAGCGATAAGTCATAACTGACAAATTTGTATATAAAATTTCACAGGAGATGGACGCACAGATATGTAGACAAATTTCTTTCGGATTTATTTGTGGAGATACTGCTTTATTCCCCTTAAAAGTTACTTTTTTTTATTATATTTTTATTGGGGTTCGCAACAGAAGAGATATCAACCCCTAGGGTGTTGGGTTAAAAAGAAAAAAAAAAAAGACAACAACTTTGGTATGTTGGTTCAAATTCAGGTCTGCTGGATTTGAACCCAACACATTTACCTTACAGTGATGAGTGCCATGTCAACGCCTATACCATTCTGGCTACTGACACCTCTACTGTACATGTGTACTCAAAATGGCTACTGACAATTTCAATTTAGAGTGCAGTATTAGCCACTGGAATAAAACATGAACACAATATTCCATTTTTTCATCTCAAGACATAACCTGTACACGAAAAATGAGACTTCACTAAGTTCACAAATGACTAAAACATTTTTGATTGTAGTGTCATTGGCAGTCGTAGGACTGAATTAACCTGGCGTGTTTTGGGCCTAGCGGAAACTTTCTTCAAGTTGGAAAAAGGAAGGTGAAAAAAAGGAAATATCAAAAAGGAAAATTCTATAAACAATAGCGTCCAAATCCTGTCTATCTACAAAGAAGTTAAAGGTAATAGAAATTCAAGATTTACCATCAGAAAGAAAACTGTAGATTCGCTAAAACGTAAGTTTATAAATAAATTATTTTCTTTATTTATATGGCAATGAAAAAGAAGCAAATTGAAACATTCTTCCTCCATCAAAAGGTTAAAAATCCACCTTAGAACAACAGCTTAAAAAGTATTTTTCTGGTTGGTATTAAAAATTTTCTTTTAGACTAGTATAGAATTATTTTCTCAGGTAAATTACTGTGTTTATTGTGCTTTTGTTTAGTACCTAGGTAATTCAAAACTTATTATATTTTGTTGATATATATTTTTGTTTATAGTGTCATTTCTTAAGTGCATTCCACGTTGCAGGCTGAATCAAGCCGAAGACCAGACAAAATTGTAATCGGATGCTCAGTTTGTTATTTTATTTCCTAACTTTCATGATGGCTGTATCAGAACTAAATATTTTACTTCTAATTGAAACTTCACAGTGTGAAATGCCAAAGACATACATATAGAAAATCCCCAGCAAGAATGGTCAGGTGAATTTCATCATTTAACAAAAAAACAAAGAACCGACTGCAAAATAAATGTTGGCAAACTTTCTGCCAAAACAATTAATTGCCTGGTAATGCTGAAGATATAATACCAATCTGACGTTTACCTAAGTTTGGCTGAGGTGGAGTTGGAGGCAAACAATGGAAAAAATTATGAGATCCTTTAAACATTAAGATCTATTTCAATTAATATACATTACATTGCAGGATTAGGACCGGCCAAGGAACATTTTTTGTGGCAACAAAAACTGTAAAAAACCCTGTAAAGAAAACTGATTAAAAATAAGCCCTTTGAATAAGAATGTAGGCACAGGACAGAGACAAAAGTTCATTAAAGGATCTCTCATAAATGGCAAAACTATATAAACCTTGGACGTATTAGGACTAGAAAGTTAGTAGTCCAGCTACTGTGGCACTGCATACTCTATAGGCATATGTACAGACTCAGAAAAGCACAAACAAGCAGAACTTCCTTGGCAATATCTGCACAGATTTGTAATGCACTGAGTGCATGCACCTCCAGAATCTGAAGCGTCCAGTCAGCAGTCCTACTATGATTCTAGTCCTTACATGTCAAAAAATGCTGATTCTGGAATAGTCATTTAATGAACTTTCTTCATTCCTAGAATAAACTCCCATGAACCTGCGACATATCCTTAACCCTGTGTCTGAAGGGATGCCCTAAATGGCAAATTGGTATGGCGAAAAAAGAGTTCAGGGCCATTAGGCCTCCTCAACAAACTTTCCCTGTCTAATTAATTGACCTCCTCATTGTCCTGGAGCCCAAACAAGCGTAATTTGGCTGTTATCAGCCTTGTCTGACAGGGTGTTTTTTTTTTAACAACGGATACCAGGAACTGGAAGAGTTTCCCCCGAGCACTGCAGCTGTTCAGCTTATTGTACTTTATCCCTGGCTCCATTTTTGGGGGGCTCGCAACACGAGTGTGAATTTGATCCCCCTGTGTGCTGATGTTCTTCCATCGAAGAAACTCATGTTTGAAGTGAATTGGGACCAAATTCAGGGTTACTGAGATCTGATCCCACCCCTTCCATTGATGAACGCCATGTCAATTTCTTTCAATCGCGGCCACCGGTCTCCTTAGGCATCAGAAAAAAGTCCAGAGGAGACGGTGGGGATTGAACCTATGACCGCGGGATCTACTAGCTGAGAGTCTGACACCTTTAACCACTCGGCTACTGCGGCCCCCCAGTTGCAAACTGCTCTGGAGTTAACTACCGATAAAGTGCCTTTAGAGCTGTTCTTATTAGTTTTGTTGTTAGTTTCTGCAATGGTCTTTTAATGAACTTTGTGCAGCTGTATATCCTGGAATATAATCTCATTGAACCGAAGACTTATACTTTATTTTATTAAGTTTATGGCAATTCAGTATGCTGCTAAAGGGTCCAGGGCCAATAGGTGTCCTTGTTGAAATTTCTCTGCCTAATTTATCGACCTCCCCCTTGCCCTCACCCAAGCACCTCTGCACTTTACTATCGCCTTTTGTACCAGTACACAAAATAACAAGATAATTTCAAAACAAACATGTTTGATTCATCTCGCTCAGCCCGCACAGAATTTTTTCAGTTCAAACTCCGTTGCAGAATGGTTTGCACTGAAATTGTCTGGCTCCATCTGCAGTCTGAAAAGCACCTTACCAAATTCATATAAAAATGCAATAATACTGCAAAATAAATCACCTATATTTTTTATAATGATCAAATAATAAAGTTATGATTGTAAAGTGCACTGCTTAAAACCTAAAGTGTAAATTAAAATCTAAAAGCCACAGGCAGAAAAAATAATGCTGAAAATTTTGAACCGTAATAATAATAAAATAAAATAAATCATTTTAATTTATTGTGCATACAAATAATAATAACATTATAAATAATAATTTATGAAAAGCATAAAAATAGTAAAAAAAAAGAAAAAACACTGATCAAAGCCTTGCACATATTGAATCATAATACACTTAAGAAAAAATGCCAACGTTTCTATGTGCAAAAAAAACTTAAACAGCCCATGATTATGTAAAAATGTCAAAACTATCAAAAATAAAAAAGTGCAAAAAAATCCCATTCTGATAACACAGAAAATTTTAAAATGACGGTACCTTCTGCAAGTGTGTACTTCGTATTGCACCTATTGTACGCTAGAAGAAACATTACAGTTAGTCATATCGGTAATAACAGGTTTTATAAAATTATTTTCAAAACTAACTACATCTATCTACAGCCTGTTTCTAACTGTGTGTGCCGCGTATGGATAACTCAAGTCGTCTCAAAACCTATATTAAACGAAAAAAGGAAGATTTTTGAATGACACTTGTTCTTTTCAAAACAGTTAGAACTTCATTAAAGTCAACAAGAAGGGAGTCGTGCTGTTTAGAAGAGGAGATAATACAAGAGGGAGTAACTTTCAAAAGTTACAAAACAGCAACTTTTGAACTGTCTCCCATTTTGATTAATGTCCTTCATCAATTAAAAATCTAAATTAATACTAAAATTACTAAATAATTGTTATATTAAATTATTCTCTAATTGAAAACAGCGTTTAAGTTAATTAAGTTCCATTCACACATTGATTCTTTGACCACTATTTGAAATATGTTATATTAACAAAATGATTGTGACACTATTATTTTCTATATGCAGGGTGGGCCCAAAGAAAACAAAGGTACTTTTTTTTTTAATTTTATTTATTTATTTTTTTAATAAGAATTATTCCCAAATAGCATCATATCTCAAAATACGTTTAGAAAAAACTCTTCGAGCATTAAATTTTGAGTAGGATGAGACCAACCATATATTTTTATCTGAAATCTTTGCCGAGATATAATTTGTTTAATATAATAACCACTTAAAAAAAAAAAAAAATAAGAAAGATTTTCAGCATTAACAATTCAAATGTTATAGGAAAATTATTCTGTAAAATGAGACCATGGTGTTGGTTTAGACTAATTATTATTACTTAATGTTTATTAATTTTACAAACACTCTGGATCATGGTATGGTCCTAAAAAAGAAAGCAAATTTAATTGCTATTGCCAAACTTTTAAGGTGATCATCAGGGCAAATCAATCATAAATATGTCAACAGATTGACATATTTAAGATTTTAATTTCAAATTTCCTTGAAGAACGACTCAGTCCCAACATTGACAACAACATGTACTATATATTTAATGCTACATGCTACATAATGTAGACATATTTGTGATTGTTTTGCCTGATGATGACCTTTTTTTTTTTTTTTTTTTTTTTTTTTGGCGTTATGAACTATGCATATTAGCCATGTGACAAATTCGTATATGTGTGTTCAAATTTGGGGGGTTATTGGGAAAAAAGGGCCAGGGGCAACGGTGGGAATCGAACCCACGACCGCGGCGTGAGAGTCTCTCATGCTAACCACTCGGCTACCGCGGTCCCCTGATGATGACCTTAAAATAGGTCGAATGCTTGATAGAAACAACTGAATTTGCTTTCTTCTTCAAGACCATACCTTGATGCAGAGTGTTCCTTAAATTTCTGCAGGGTTGACATGGTGTTATCCTGAAGAAGAATCTGCCCCTAACAGTTTACCAATGCTGGAAAAAGATGTTACAGTTTCCCATGCATTTAGTCAATTTCTTGGCAGTATTTCTCAGCTTTAATGGTTTCACTATAATTCAGGAAATTATAGTGAACAACCCAACAGTACATGACCAAACAGTCACCGTAACCTTTTCTGGGTGCAAATTTTGTTTTGGGAAGGCACTTCATCCTTGTCCAACCACTGATCAATACATTTCCTGTTATTGTACAGAATTGATTTCTCATCGCATGATTTGTGATGATTTGATTGAAAAATGGATCATTTTTGTGACGCAAGACAAGAAAAAAACCCCCGCTGTTTTTAGAGGTTTTGGCGTTTTTCAAAAAGAAGACTTCATTTGAGGACCTTTGTTTATAGGGACATTTTTGTTCAGCATGAAATTTCCCATAAATCCTCAAAGTACCTTTGTTTCGTTTGGGCCCACCCTGTTTAACAGGTATAAATTATTTTTTTCTAATTTGTGTATTGCTTCAAACTGACACTTAAGAATATTTAGAAAATTGTCTGTTGTAAGTGTCAATTTGAATAATAACCTACAGATGGGAGGGAAATAAGGGGGACGGGGATGCAAACAAAACGTCCACCACATGCTTTATCTAACAAGAAGCGATCCGCTAAGACCATGCGCTAAACTTGCCTTCAGTCCATCTGAGTTGTGGCACTCGTTTTGTTCCCTTCTCCATGGAGAATATGCGAAAGAGAAATGAATAAGAAAAAAGAGACAAGAGAACATTTGTGATTGTTTTGTTCTTTTCTTGAGATTTAGAAAAGGAAAATTGATTGCAGTTTATGATTATAATTTACATCTCCAAAGAAGACACTTGTAATATATTTTTGACATAACACTTTTTTAAAAATATTAAAATAATACAATTAAACTTCTACAATATGTAAAAATAGTAAGAAGCTATTGTCTAAAATATTGTTCAACCATCTTACACCGACCATATTTTTGAACCACATACACCATTAGCATGCAAGCAGACAAATAAAATTGAAAATAATCAAAAGCATTTACGTTTAGAAAAACGTCTTCCTTTTGTTCTTGGCACGATGGCTCATCTGGTACTCAATTCATTGTTGATTGGTTAATTTTAAAATTTCTCAAGCGGGTTTTTACACATTTATATTTACAATACTTAATTTGTATTAAGAGGCAAAGTCAGAAGGAAATAATTTAGAGATAAACTGCCTTACCTGCAAAACACCACCTGCCTTTGGCGCGAGCAAACACGAGAATAGCTGTAAGTGTCAGAATCACAAGGATTGCAATTACGATACCAAATATTGTTGCGACTCCAAGTTCCAGCACTAAAACAAAAAAAACAAAAAATCGCATTGTTAATTTTTTTCATTCTTTAACCAAAACATGTACAGATGTATAACAACTTACTTTTTGGTTCAGGATTTGTTGATATTTTAACAGTGTAAGTCTGTTCACCGTATTTGTTGAGCGCAACCACCTTGTAACTTCTCATGACATCCTCCTTCTCGAGATTTGTAACAACCATTACAGATTCCCAATAGCCCATACCCTGTAATTTGAACATTTAGAGGCATTCAGAAAAAATTTTGATAGAATAGATTTTTTAGAATTTACCTTATCGACTTTTTCAGTCGCTGGTGTAAGATGGAACCTCTGAGTCGAGTCCATGTCACCCTCGTGAATCTTCTCGTCATCAATAATCCAATAAAATGTAGGTTTCGGGTTGGCCATGATAACTGCTGAAATTTTTCCCTCTTCACCTTCGACGAGGCCGAAATGCTCGATGGGTTCAGTCCTCGGTTTAGGTCCGACTGGAATTTTCCAATTAGCCTTTCTTACGACTGGTCTTTTATAAACACATCTACTTACATCTGACTCTGATTTGTTGCATAGTGGTGTTCGGTCCGTTCTGTAGAAGTGGGTGGCCGGCTACGCACTTTAACGCCTTTCCATTGTCACTTGCAAGTACCGTTCGTGTCATGTTCTGAGTTACTGTGTAAAGATGTTTGTTGTTAACATCGACTGTATTCAACTGGGATAAGCCGGTTGTAATTTTTTCATCCCCTAAAAAAAAGTGGAATTAAAAATTTAAATTGATATATAATTACCTACAAGTACAACAATCACTTACCTATGTACCAGGAGATATTAGCTGCTGGTCTTCCATTTTCAACTTTACAGGTTGCATACATCTCTTCATTTTCTGAAAAGGAATCTTTCTCCCTGTTTCCTTTAATGCTTAAACTTGGCACTAAAGGTTTCTCTATAAAAACAAATACAAGCATTAAATATGTCAATAGTAGCACAATTGCCTAAAAAGTATGAGCTGCTTACGAGCCACGACAACGTTGATGTCCTCACTAAAATTAGGGACATTCCCTTCCTCGGTCAGGCTGCATTTGAACAGTCCGTTGTGGTAATCTTGTACATGCCTCAGATTGAGACCGCACTGTCCTTTGTTATATCCTTCTCCATAGTAGACGATGTTCTTGTATGGCTTCTGGTTCATGTTCAAGGTCAAGGAACCATCGCCAGGCACTTCAAACTGACAATTGCCCAAGCTGACGCCAGCCTGTAAAATATTACCCATTTGAGCCAGTGCAAAAAATTGATTTAATCTGGTTATATTGGTAAAAGCAGATTACTCTCTCATAAAAACCCTTTATTGCTATACTTTTTCATCTTCTACTCTTCTAAATCTCCCCTTATCCACATACTTTCTTATTTTATTAATCCACATTCACTCATACATAAATTGTTTTACAGAGTATTAAATATTCCTCAGGGTAATTGGGGATAAACCCTTCCATTCACGCAAATAAATTACATTTGCACATTCATTTGCACTAACGCACAGAGTATTCTATATTCCTCGAGATAATTAGGGAAAAACCCTGCCATTCACGCTAATAAATTACATTCCAACATTCGTTCACACTACCCCAGAGTACTCGATATTCCTTGGGGTAATAGAGAATAAGCCCCCTCTATTCACCATAATAAATTTTATTCACACTACCCCAGAGAATTCAATATTCCTCGGGGTAATTGGAGATAAATCTTGCCATTCACACCAATAAATTACATTCACACTTTCATTAGACTTCCCCAGAGGATTCTATATTCCTCGGGGTAATTGAGGATGAACCCCTTCCATTCACGCTAATAAATTACATTCGCACATTCATTTGCACTAACCCACAGAGTATTCTATATCTATCTATTCCTTGAGAGAATTAGGGATAAACAATGCCATTCACGCTAATAAATTACATTCACTAGTTTTCATGGTCCGCTTGACAAAGTAAATTCTTTTCAATTAATTAAGGTTTTTAGTTGAGATAAAAAAGTCAATGGCACGAGCGGGATTCGAACCCATGATCTTCGGCTAGATACGCCGCTACTCTACCACCTGAGCTATCGTTACTTTGGTCCACTTGGAAACTAACTTCCCATCTCAACCCCACCTTTTGAATTTTCCCTCCTTTTTGCCATTTTTCAAATGTCGTGTAACCTATTTGATTCTCGGCGACAAATGAAATGGCCACGGAGAGCTTTAGTGAAGATATACTTCATTTTAACTTATTAAATTCACTGGTTTTCGTGGTCCACTTGACCAGTTAATATATTTAAATTAATTAAGGTTTTTAGTTGAGATAAAAAAGTCAGTGCCATGAGCGGGGTTCGAACCCACGACCTTCGGCTAGATACGCCCTGCTCTTCCACTTGAGCTATCGTGACTTCGATCCACTCGGACACTAACTTCCCATCTCTTGAAAATTGGCAAAAAGGAGGGAAAATTCAAAAGGTGGGGTTGTGATGACGATACTGACTTTTTTATCTCAACTAAAAACCTTAATTAATTGAAAGCTAATAAATTACATTCAAACATTCATTCTCACTACCCCAGAGTATCCTATATTCTTCGGGGTAATTGGGGATGGCTCCATTCACGCTAATAAATACATTCGTTCCTTGATCGTATCATTAATAAATACACTCATTCTTATGTATTACAGGAAAGTAAATATTTATTGATGGGAATAATTTTTTTTGCACTGTGTGCATCGGGAACTCTCTTTTTTTTCTTTTTCATTTCAACCAAGACCTTAGATAAAAAGTATAATTAACTAAATTAGTTAATACGGCCTATTATTACGACTAAATACATGTTCGGATTAATGAAAATAATATTGAAAAAAAAGCATACCTGGCATAAAATCACCAATTCTTGACCTGCCTGGACCACCATTTCCTTGCCAGTCACAACGCTTACCTTAAACGCTTGCACATCTGAAAAAAATTAAGAACCCTTATTAAAATTCCAGGAAGGAGATAAAAGAACATTATTACGACAGTATTATCTTACATGAAAGGAAAAACGGGGAGCAGCTGAAAAAAGCGGAAGCGCTCAACCGAGACCATAAAATTTTCATTTTCATATCAAATTCATAGCCGAGACCCCGACGTTGCCTTAATGGAATAATTTGGGGACGCTTCCAGACCGAAAACAGGCTTTTTCCCTACCAGAGTTTAAAAAATTTTTAAAACGTCCCTTTCTAGAATCGTTTTACGGCCAATTGGACGGATATTAACTTCCGTTGGCTGAAAGACTACAAATTCAATCAAGTACTCTGTAATTTTACCTTTTAAATAACAATTACCACTAGGTATTTTTCTCAATCTGTTGGAAGAAGAGTTAAATTTGGTGGAACATTAATCCAATAATCCAGCATAATCCAAGCATGGAGAAATAGCGGAAATGCTCTTTACCACACGCAAGTTTACAGAGCAGAACATTAGTGTATTACACGTCTGTGTACTTGAGCTCAACAGACACTAAGCGACCCAACTTCCAGACCACATTTCAAGATAACGATCACTTCTTCATTAGTGGGCGATGATTAAAATTAATATTTAATTATCCTTATTAATATGCAACAATAAAGGTCTTTGATAACGACAACGAAGTTTTCAGTTACAGTTGGCCATATTAATTTTATTAATAGGAAAATGACAAACCTTGTTCTATGTTATCTAAGCACTAACTTATCCCTAATTACTCTAGAAACATTTTAACATAGATATGTTTTTGGCTGATACACATTTTTGGCATGACCGATTTCGCGTTACCGGAGATTGCGCATGGATTGGACTTAGCTTAGGGTTAAGGTAAAGTATATTTGCTTCGTTAGTAGGATAGTTAGTAGTGACAGGGTTCAGGTTTGGGACGGCCTAGATTTGGTTTTTTAGTAGTTGGACTAAGTTAGATTAGGTTAGGGCAAGGCTAGGCAGTGTTTGGGTAAGGTTTAAGGAGCGGGTGAGTTAGGTTATGTTGTTTTGTTAGATCAATTGGCAGCTACTCACGTTAAACTAGAGGTGTATCTACTTATTTGTTAATATTGTTTAATCTTTTCAACTGGGGTTGTTGACCAAATATTCGTCTAAGGATTCAGTAGATAAAGATACTCAAAGGAACAAATTTTGGATATACATTTTTTACGTGACCATTTTCGCGCTACCGGTTTCAAGTTATGGAGGGAGGTGCGCATGGTTGGTTAGAGTTAGGGTTAGGTTAGCTTATGAAGTTATTCTATCTAATTTAGAGTGATTTGCTGCTACGCATGTTAAACTGAGGTAAAATGAAAAATTGAAAATTGTTAACCATTTCTGCTGTCCATGTCTCGACCGTAACTGGATACAGAAACGTTCTAACAGCCGAAAGTCGTGAGTTCGAATCCCGCTCGTAATCGCTAACTTTTTCATTTCAACCAAAACCTTACATAAAAAGAACAATTAATTGAAAGAACTAATTTGGTCAATTAGGCCCCTAAACATAATGGTTGTAACAGGATAATGGTAAATTTTACGTAGGGCGTCAGAAGATGAGAGCTCAGAAGAAAAGAGAAGATTCTATAAAGGAGCACTTTTAGGATATGCTTGTTGGTCTGGATACACAATTTTTGTTGTGATTTTCCGTTTTAGGAAGGTGCTGATGGGTAGCACTTAAGGTTAGGGTTAGGACGGGTTAGGTTAGGTTAGGTACGATTCCCTTCCCTTCAATGCCTTCAATCGGGTTCCGATACCCACATCAAAGTTACGTGGTTGCATATTCCCTGGAGTTGGTGATAGGTTAGGCATTCCCAGACTGTATTGACTACTCCACTACCCTTAGTTCCTTGGCTCCATACAGAGAGCGCGCAGGAATGCCACCCGATTTGAGAATTGTGCTTGAGCAACAGCAGCGAGTATTTGGGTCCCCTGTTCCCATTCTTGGAGGAAACTATAGGAATAATTATTGTGTATACTACTGTTGAGGGTGAATGTATTTATTAGCGTGAACGTGTGATGTGGGAAGGTCGATGGCGGAATACCGAGTACCCCTAATTGAATGAATGATATGTAAATAAGAGTGAATATATTTAAGAATGAACGTGGGTATGAGTGGGTTTGGAACTGCATGCGTTGGGTGCTGAATTGTCCTAGCTGTCGATAGCCTCGGTGGCTGGACGGATAAGACTGAGGTCTGTCCCCGGACTGCCAACACTCTGGGTGGGTGATTCTCGAGCTTACCGGTAATTTACTGCAAATAGCAAAAGCTAGAATAGCCGGTGGACTACGAGAAGCAAATAGGCCTAACTCGGCACATGATTGTATATATGTGTGGATTTGAGCATATATAAATCCAAAATCCAAATCCTATGCATCTAAAAAATTATATTTCTATGAAAAAAATTTTGATTAATTTTTTTAAAATCAGGTTGGGTTTTTTCTTGCCAAAGCAGCATTGTGTCAGTAATGATCGAACTTCGGTTCGTCTATCATCGCTTGTTACAGTTATGCATGGGCCATAACGGGGTCAATCAAGTATCGAATCAAGGAGGAGCGTGAAGGTGGATTCTTATTATGGAAGCAATCATTAAATTACAATTAAATAAGACTTATCAGTTAAGCTCATTAAGTTCAAGTCTCATACAGTTTTATTCAATCAATACAATCCCATGTAGATTATTAATAAAATTTTATTTAAACAGTCCTTGAAACTTGAAAAGTTCGCTTTTCTTTAATAAAAAGTTTTAATTTACAGTCAAGACTGATTATAATTTATGATAAAAAATATTCAAATAAATTACGCCATTTCTTTGAATGGCAGAATTGTAATAAGAAAGCAGGCGGTGGGTTTAGTTCATAATATACCGGGTTTCTAGTTTACGAGGGCGGTATTTTTTCAATTGTTTCTATTACTTCTGAAGTGCATTTTGATTATTTTTTTTTGAAGTGCCGGTAGGGTTAAATAATCATAAGAAGGCTGGCTATTATTTTTCATCCTGGATGAGAATATTCGAATCGCGAAACCGAAAGACAAATTTAATAGCGTGTTCAAATTCATTTACATCTCTAATGAACTATCCACTGTACCTATTTGAATGAAATTTGTCATATATGAACACACACGCCCACGTTTTCAATTACCTTTTGTGTACTTTCGCTTATATGCTCATATAAACGAAGTTGGTAGTTTAATTAATTTCCTTTCTTCAGTCGTTCCCATATGCGACGGAATTTTCCGATCCAGTGGATAGGTATTTTACAAAGAACGAAAATTTCGAATCGATATACAAACAGAATTTACAATCAAAGACAAAAACCGGTGTATTTATTTATTTTCCATAATAACTAGGTAAAAACAGCGAGTACAAATCACCCGGGCAGATGTTTTGGCCAAAGACGGACTTAGGGAGTCTTGGGTGTGCAGAGCTTTTACATCCACGAAGGCCTACAGCGATTTAGGGCCACAGGATCGATCTACTAGAAGGTAGTAGTCTACTGCGATGTACGACGGCTATAGTTGGTCGTTTTATACCACGGAACCGACGTTTAACAGATTCCTTGATGGTCGACTCAAGTATGGGTATTAAAACAGTCCTCAGAAGGCTTAGAATAGCTTAGTTTAGACGTTCCGTATCAGGTTTTCTATTGCTAGAGAGGTATCTCATAGAAAGGCGACTATTCGCAAATCCACGGACACTTGAACAGTGGTGGGGCTGTTCTCTTCACAGATGCGTACTGTGGCAATCAGACCGGGACCGTGAATGGAGAAGACATGGAGAACGTTTTGCTTCTTGTGCCATACGTTAGTTACATCCTTTTCAAAGACGTCTATGGTATCCGGTGGAATGAACGAACCGAATGGTCTCTGACTACACAGTACATTCAGTAATTTATTCTTGAAGCAATGGTCCCATGTGCTCCATTTATTGGGGATGACTCGAGTTAATGCATGGGTGCATATAGGTCGAGTTGTCACCTATTACTTGGAGGATGTGGGATTATCGCAATGAATCCTCCTGACATATATCCTATAGTGTTAAATATGTAGGGGACATGATAAGGAGGGTTAGAAATCGGCCGTACCGATTGATGTCAGATAGGCTGAAAAAGCTGGTTCCCAATAATAGTCTTGTCATCTAAAATTGAAGGGTTTAATGTCAAGTAGTGCTCGTTTTCCGAACTACCCCTAGAAAGATATGGCAACAGGACGGAACAAGTTCAATGGTTTTTATGGCAATAATATTAATGTAATACTTAATATTTTTTCCAAAATCTACAAAACCGGGGAAATCATAATAACCTGACAATCTTGGGTGCCAGGGAACAAAGAGATTCGATAGCAGCTGCAACTGTTGGCTCTACTCTAAGTACCCGCCAGGAGTCTTATCTCTAAGCCACTACGAAACCTTGCCCATGTAACAGGCTACTGGGCTTGGAACTTGGAACGTTATGATACCCCGTAGTTCAGTTGGATGTGCACCCTCCTCCCTCGTCTTTGCAGGCAGGATCTGATACCCTAACCCACCTGGGCTGCAGATTGATCACACGACGTCCGCCTACACTAATACAGCTTGTGCTTTTGAGAGTTCGCTACGCTCTAAAAGCTACACTATTATTTTGGGCCTGGAACCCCCCTCATGCATCCAAGGTTAGGAAAGCTCTTATGGAAATATGCCGTGTCACCTGGATTGAGAAAAGGAAGCTCGGCCACACTGTAGGACCCATTGTCACCGTAGTTCCATGAAGTAAGCTATGGCTCACCTGGGTAGGTAGAAGAGATCAGATGCGAAGCGCCGAACGAGTCGACCGCCATCCCGGCCAGTAATCACGAGGGACGAATGACCGCGCCCGGTACACACCTCGGATTAAAGCTGTTCATTCTCAGATACCCTTCTCCACATGGGTGAATTCAGGGGGGGGGGGTCAGTCTCTTCCCTATGGGTAACGGGTGTCCATCCCCA